GTGTTTTTCACCAGAACAAATGAACATCAGCTGCTCCTCTGAGGGAGATGGAGTAGAGTTCATTTTGACCTTGGACGGTCTCTCACTGATGCAGACCAGAGTCCACAGTCAGTCCCAGAGCAGCTCAACACTGGACACACTGCCACTGGCTGGGAGTACTGATAACCAACACAAACCCAGTGTTTCAATTGTTACTATCAGCTTACATGGTCAACTGACAGGAAACTTGATGTGTAACGTTCGAAACAATATCAGCAGAGAACAAACAGTCATCCACCTTACAAGCTGTGAAGGTAGTGTATTTAAATAAATTCCTAAATTCTATTTTTATTTATTAACCAATGTTTTAAATTGATTCATTAAATAAACTACATTTATAGCTTTAAGGAAAATGCTTTTAGATACTGCATGATGCATACGCAGTCTGTTAAATAGCATGTACACAGCTTGATCTGTGGTTTCAGAAACTTCAGAAAGATCTTTGCAGTCCTGAAAATGACATGTTGATATCATCTCAAAATCTAATTAGATATTTATATTTTATAGATTCCATTTCTCACTTCTCTCTTGTGATTGTGGTTGTGATAGCAAGTGTCACCACTCTACTTCTCCATTTGGCTCTGTTTCTTGGTATCAAACATTTCAAAAAGACAAGACCCATGACTGTTAATGAAGGTAAGATAAAGATGTTCTCCTAATTCTAATATAGAAGATTAATATTTATGCAAATGTTTGCCATATTATTATGTAAAATATGTACAGTACACATATTATTCCTGATTATAATTTTGCAAAGGATTGGCTACTGTAGTTTTAGACTAGATATCTGAAAAGCATTTGGGTGCCTCTTGAACTACATTCATTTTAATGCACCATGAAAATCAACACAGAAAGACCTAAATGGCTGGTATCAAATAGTGCTGGGAGGTAGGATTTTTTTTTGCATGACACAGGCATTACATAGGTTTATAGTGGGATATTCTACTGTCAGGAGTACATAGAACATAAAAACATTTTAATGTTATCATGTATATATTGAAGGCTTTAAATATTATAGGGTTTTCTTGGCCCCACAGAATGACTGAATCAGAATGCATGAAGCAGTTACAGAATGTAGACAATTTTAATTGTGCAAACTGCAATGTAGTAAACAGAACTTACAATAAAAAGAAAGATATTACAACATTGCTTTCTTTGCAAAAGAAAATGTTTTTAAATATAAACTTGCATAAATTATTAAGTATTTATTTATTTATTCAAAACGGAGATTTCTCAAATGCTACTGTAGGAAACAAATGAATTACAGCAGGTATTTCTGTTATGCAATATGGCAGGCAATGATGCGCAGTCACTCTTGGAGAAATCAATGAATACAGAACAATTAAAACTGGTAATGGTCTCATTATTACTTCAACTTATTAACCTTATTATATTCATTCATTATTTTGATCATTAAAGTTATGCGTTACCATCCCGTCCTGTGGTAGCACACACGTTGAAAAAGACTGAAGGACTGATGTGAGCAGGCCTCTCAAAAAAAAGAAACTTTTAGCAAAAAAACCAGATCTAGAAGCCGCTTCTAAACAGTCCTCACAAACCTGCGAGTAGATTATCTCAACTGTGTCAGTATAACTTTCCAAGCTGTCCTCGCTTCTGCTTCTTTCAGCATACGCGCCCTGCAGATGACAAATTACTCTAACCTCCAGCATGCTAGAGTAACTGGAAACACAAGGAAAACTGGCACACCCAAACTCCGATCAAAACTCGCCAACTTAATTTGCCTTTCATAAAACATTATTCAATGGACTGAGTCTAAGCCTAAACCTTAAAACCTTATGTAAAATTGATAAAAAGTTATTTTTGATTGGCACGCATCAGGCCTGGTGGGTTTTGCAAGGCAAGCGCTAAGTTACAGCTCCCACTGCTGCTGCTGGCTGCTACGAACTTGCTGACGTGGTGGCCAAATCAAAGCAAAGTCAAACTAACTTTTTAACCTTACTTTCAATCTTATGCAGTATCATTCAATCATCAGCCCTTCACACCTGCTATATTTTCACCACCAAAAAACCCTCCCATACTGGTAAACTCTAACACAGTTTTTAACTGAGCTGCTAGCAGCGCTTTGGGACAGCCAAAATATGATACCAGAACAATGATAGAGTACCAAAATTTTGTAACTTTGTGATTAGAATTGAAAGTCATAATGTATCTCTTTAGCAGGATTTAACTGTTAGTAA